CTGAGGAAGAGGGGAACCGTTTCCTCATGGTGGTCTATAAGAGTGCATTGCAGCGAAAGACTGATCTGCGTGAGGTTGAGGAGACATACGCAGAGGCACCAGCAGGATCTGCAGAGCATGATGGAGCTCTTGCGGACTACCTGAACTCCATCTGGCCTGAGGAACCTGATGTCTGGCCGGTTTCATCAACGTAAGAAGCTATGAAGCGCGCAGCTTGACATGTTGGCCTGTCCGTATATAGGGACTACATGAAGGCCAAAGTATATACTATTTGGGCACATGGGCCCGTAGAGTTAAGTTTAGGTTAGGTTTTATGGTTGCCTAAACTGGCCCTTTACTCGTACTACTTCAAACCCATACCCGAAACCCGAAAGTTTTGAGATGTGGCCTGTTCCTCATTTTAATTATAGCAAAACATGCCGCCCGAACCCTTTTCTAATTATTAAGGCCCCTACAGAAGGGGTTTTAGGGTTTAGGGTTTTAGGTATCTTAACCCTAAACCCTAAACCCTAAACCCTAACTTTCTGGTACCTGTAAGCCCCACTATTTTGGGTACTCGGACCCTCTGGGCAACTCTGCTTCTTGGTTCCCTTCAGGGCTAGGTTTCCCAGTAGTATCCTGTTGCACTTTTGCCACGGTTTAGGGTTTAGGGTTTAAGGTTCTTCTTTTGCTCTTGTCTTATTGGGTTCGCTTCTTAAAATCGAATAGTAGGAAAAAGGATACCCTCATTATTTATGGGGTAATGGGGAACCTAGAAACTCTGAAAATCGCTCAGGTTGATCCCGACTACAACATCTACACCATGGCCAGGATCTGAGATGTGGGCTGTTCAGGGTTTTTGGGGGTTCAGGGGGATTTAGGTTTAAGATTGTTGTGGGTTTTGGGGTTTTGGGATTTAGGTTTAGGGACAATGGTTTGGGGATTGGGGTTCAGGCTTTAGAGGGTGTAGAGCTTAAGGGTTTGGGGGATATAGGTGTCCGGCCTAGGACTACTGTTGATGATCTAAACCCCGCATTACCTTAAGGGTCCTAAACTATGGGAATAATGGCATGTTCCTTATTATGGGTAATTCAGGATTTATATCATCAACAGTCGGATTGATTAAGGATTAGGAGTCAGGGGTTAGGATGCGGTATTAGTGTCACTATCCGATGGTCTTTTTGAAGTTTAAGGGGCAAGTGGGTAGGTTTGAACTCCCAAAGGTCGAGTGCATGAGAAGATTTACAGGCTGGTGGCTAGGGAACGTTTCCAAGACACTTGGGTGGTTGTCAAAATTATGGTTTCTTTCTGGGTCCTTATTATAATACGGCACCTATTATTTAGGGTACCCCGAAAGGGACCATAATTTTGACAACTACCCACTTCGCGACACTTCGCCAGGTAATCTCGGATTAGGTTGTGAAAGATCGACTCGGGCTTCATGTGGGTCAATGTAGGTATTCTCGGTCCCAAAGGCTCCATGTACCTTTATAGTAGTTACTTAAGCCTTAAAGGGTCCCTATATAGGTACTTTAGGGCTTAAGTATCTACATGGAGCCTTTGGGGGTGATTCGAGCTGGTGTGAGGAATCTATGATGCGGCTTTGGTCTATGCGTTTGGAGTCTAGATAGATCGTCCAGTTTGCATGTCTTCTTCTGTCGTTACCAGTGAGATGTTGTTCAGCACCTCACGCGTATCCGCCCCCCCTCGACTCCAAACAAATTCCCACACCCTGGGACCCGGGGCCCAGGACACTATATTTTTAATAAGGAACCCCCAAAAATATTATCAGTAATTACACCCTGCACAACCTTAAACCCTAAACCCTAAACCCTAAAAACCCTAAAAGCCCTAAACCCGATGCCCATACCCTATGCTCTGAGCGAATGAAACCCTGAGCCAGAGGGTCCAGATACACTACCATTCTGGCATTAGGTCCCAAAAGACCATCCTCATTATGGTTTTGGGGACCTCATTCCAGAATAGTAGTATATATGGACCCTCTTGGCTGAGCCTTGAACCTGCAGGTTTGAGGGTGGCATTCCCAGACCTTCCAACATCCCTTAATTCAGGAAGGTAATACAGGAGTTTCCGAAAATTAGGGGTACCTTATTTTTGGGTCGTTATAATAAGGATCCTACTATTTAGGGCACTATATTAGGGTCCCCTATTTTCGGAAACCCCTATATAGAGGCCGTAAATAATTACCAACATAATACTATTTTGGGGTTCCTTGTTATCATCATAGTATAATATACCCCAAAACCATATTCTAATTATTAAGGCCCCTATACTGCCTTCAGCAGGGACGGCGGCAACTAAAGAAAATGGTCTGAACTCGGAATATCTGTCACAGGTGCGGCCCTAGTCGGGATTAGCTCATAGGTTTAGTCTAGGACATTTTCAGGTGGGTAGTTACCGTTATAGGAGCTTTATAGAAAGCCTATATACCTTATAGAAGCCTTATAGAAGCCCTATATACCCTAACCTTCCCACCTGTAGTTTCCTTTAACATAAGTTTAGGGTTTAGGGTTTCGGGCCCTAAACCCTAAACCCTAAACCCCGGGAGGTGCACTTTGGTGGGATGGCCAGTGCAGGCTGCCTGCTTGCGACTACCGCTGGAAGCGGCGCCCGGCCGGTCGCCTGGGCAACGGCACATGGCTGGCGTAAAAGCCGAAAATGCAACTGGCCGCAGAGCGCTCGACCATTTGCTTGCGATTCACGAAAAGTATGTTGGGAGGTTCCCCAATGCGCAGTTCCAGGTGGATGTGAGTGCAGGGTTGTCCTCCAAGTTTCTGCGCTTGGTGTGCGTGACACCCAATGGATCGGGAATGGCGTCCAAGCCGACTACAAGGGTGCTTACGCTACATACTGTCTTCAAGGAGCCTGCAGCACCGAAGAAAGCCCAGGCGGACGAATCAGCACTGCAGACCCTGGTGAGGGTTTAGGGTTTAGGGTTTAGGCCTGGTGAGCAATCCCCGTAAACTGAATAAGGAAGTGGGGTCCTCGTATCAGACTCTCAAAGCAGGGAGGGTGAGCCTATGAATCAGATCTCTGTACAAAAAATGGTATCCCCATAATCATATATGTCTCAGTCCTACAAGCCTAAACCTAACCTTAAACCCTAAACCCTAAGAACAATTTCCAAGCCTCAGAACTCATCCCCGTTTACTCAACGACAAGTACGACAACCTCAACTCCTAAACCCCAAACAACTAATACTAAAACACCCTAATTCAAACTATGAAGACAATTAAAGGCCCTGAGCCCTAAGCATCAAAACAAAAAATCAAAAACACAAAGGAAGTCTAAACCTTAATAGATCCCGTATAAGGATCCACCCTTTATCCTAAACGCTAAACCCCTTACATTTATAGATCCCTGAAAGCAACCGCCCTGCTTTCGAAGTGTCGAAGGCTCTGCCCGTCACCTTGCGGCGCCTGCTCTCCCCAGCAACTGCCGAAGCGCGGGAGGCGATCAAAGCGAGCTTTTCTTACATGTCTTCGGCTTGGGTTTGGGGATTTACGGTTTGGGGTTTTAGGGTTTTGGGGTTCCTTTGAGGGTACTATAAAGGGGCTTGGGGCTTAAGGCTCCATGTGCCTATATGGTAATTGCTTACGGGCCTTAAAAAGGGGTTCCCCTAACCCCTAAACCCTAACCCCTCAACCCCAGACCCTAAACCCTAAACTCTTCACCCTAACCTCTAAACCCTAAACCGTAAACCCTAAACCAATATCCATTGAGCCTTAGGGTCAATTAGGTTTAGTTTTTTTGAGGGGTTCAGTGTGTTTTTCAAGGAGTACATCTCAGGTTTAAAGCTTGAGCTGACGGTTCAGTGTTGAAAAGGGTTTTGTAAAGCTTGGGCTTGGATGAAGTTTATGTACTCTTTTGCTGGAAGTAAGTTTCCTCGGCCTTGTAAAACCGCAAAACACCCATAGACCCTAAACCCTATAGATCCTAAACCATAGCCCTATAGTTCCTAAATCCGAAACCCTAAACCCTGATAAAACCATAAACCCTAATCCCTAAAAACCCTAAACCCTAGAACCCAAACCCTAAACCCTAAAACCTAAACCCCTAAAGCCTAAACCCTAGCCCTATAGATACATCCTAAACCCGAAACTCAAAACCCTAGCCCTCTAGATCCTAAACCCGAAACCCTAAACCCTCAACCCTAGCCCTGTAGATCCTAAACCCGAAACCCTAAACCGTACAGACCCTAGCCTTAAACCCTAAGCCCTAAACCCTAAACCCTAAACCATAGGCCTCTAGTTCCTAAGCCCGAAGCCCTATACCCTAGCCCTATAGATCCTGAACCTCGATACTCTAAACCCTAAACCCTAAACCCTAAACCCCGAAACTCGAATCCTCAAACGCACTGAGAGGCTCTGCGGGAGCGCCTGCTGACTGAGGATGGCGAGGCACGCCCCACTAGGGTTTAGGTTTGAGGGTTTAGGGTTTTATTTGTGTTTTAGGTTTTAGGGTTTAGGGTTTTATTTTTGTTTTAGGTTTTAGGGTTTAGGGTTTTATTTTTGTTTTAGGTGTTAGGGTTTAGGGTCTATAGGGTTTAGGGTCTAGGGTCTATAGGGTTTAGGTTTTAGGGTTTAGGGTTTTCTTTTTTTTGTTTTAGGTTTTAGGGTTTAGGGTCTATAGGGTTTAGGGTCTAGGGTCTAGGGTCTATAGGGTTTAGGTTTAGGGTTTAGGGTTTTATTTTATTTTTATTTTTAGGTTTTAGGGTTCAGGGTCTATAGGGTTTAGGGTCTAGGGTCTATAGGGTTTAGGTTTTAGGGTTTAGGGTCTATAGGGTTTAGGGTCTAGGGTCTATAGGGTTTAGGTTTTAGCGTTTGGGGTTTTTATTTTTTTAGGTTTTAGGGTTTAGGGTCTATAGGGTTTAGGGTCTACAGGGTTTAGGTTTTAGGTTTTAGGGTTTTAGGATTTTGGGTTTAGGTTTTAGGGTTTAGGGTTTAGGTTTGTTTTTAGCTTGTTGGGGTTAGGTTTTAGGGGCTTTGGGTTTAGTTTTTTTTAGGTTTAGGGTTTAGGTTTTAGGGTTTAGGGTCTAGGGTCTATAGGGTTTAGGTTTGAGGGTGTAGGGTTTTAGGGTTTTTTATGTTTTTGGGTGTAGGCTTTTAGGGTTTTATCAGGTTTTAGGGTTTTGGTTTTAGGGCTTGGGGTTTAGGGTTTTAGGGTTCAGGGTTTCAGGGTCGAGGTTAAGAATTAGGAGTTTATTGGTTTAGGGCGACAGTTTGGGGCTTAATTGGGGGTTAGGGTGTAGGGCTATATTACAGGTACCAAGCTCCATAAGGCCTAATATAAGTTCCTGAGAATTAGAATAGGGTTTCGGTTTCGGTTTCGGAGTATAATCTGGGTGGCATAGATCGTCGTCAGTTCATGTAGGGGCCAAAACCCTATTCTAATGATTAAGGCCGCCACATTATACAATGTAACTAGTCTAGGACATTTTCAGATGGGTAGTTGCCGAAATAGGAGCCTTATAGAAGGTCTATATACCTTATAGAAGCCTTATAGAAGCCCTATGTACCCTAAACTCCCCACCTGTAGTTTCCTTAACCCTAACCCCCCCCCTAAACTCCCCACCTGTAGCTTCCTTTAAACTAGAGGAAGGCAGCGAGTCCCTTGTGGGTCCTTCTAAAGGTTCTTTTAGCGTTTAGGGGTTTAGGGGTTTAAGGTTTCGGGGTTTAGGGGTTTAGGGTGTAGGGTTTAGGGTTTGGGGTTTAGGGTTTAGGGCTTTAGGGCTTTAGGGGTTTAGGGTTTAGGGTTTTCAGAATTTCTGGAGTTGAATCGTGGTGGCTTGGGTTTCGGGCCTTTTCCTGTGCAGGGTTAAGGCGGTTAAGGGTTCTTTAGTAGGTTTTTGTGGAGGTGGCTTCCAAGGCTCTTGCCGACATCCTAGAGAATTCTTCCAGCTGTTTAGCAACCCAGCACGTGTCTCTCCGTAGTCGTCTTAAAACTTAACAACAACACTAAGCCTTCGCCCAGAAGTTCTCTCTGTTTGTTTGGTGAGTGGCCCGGGCACAATGCGATGTTGAGGGTGTCAGGGCATACGTAGAGAATTGGAAAAAGGCCTTGGTCGTTTGCAGAGGGCAATTGCATTTGTCGTCCCGTATTTCGCTAAATCTCATTCGAGCTGGGAATACTTCAGCCTGTTTATCTATACTTGGCCTAGTGTAGTTGCTTACGGTGGAGTGTGTACTTGGCCTAGTGTAGTTGATTACGGTTGAGTGTGTTTCCGGAACCTTATACAGACCTTCCAGCATAGCCTCTATATAAACCCTAAGCCCCAAACCCGAAGAAGACCACTACACTTCCTGCAAGACCCAGGTGAAGTGGAACCAGCTGGAGGCACGCATCCTAAACCACAAACCCTAAACTTGGCCCTAAACTTTAACCCTAAACCCTCATTATGCCCCTATTCCATTCGTGAGTTGCCTCTATGTCATTTGTACATGCACTTGACATGTTTGTACTGTGGTCAAAGCCGGGCCAAAATCAGAATTGGGTAAGGGTTCAGGGTTTAGGGTTTTGGTTTTAGGGATTTGCCCTTGCAAACATTAATCGCGTTTTTTGACTGCTCGAAAGGAACATCTGCCTTGCTGATTCTGGCGGAGGCCCCTAAACCCCAAACCCCAACCCCTCCCCCCCTCAAAAAAAACAACTAGACCCCAAACCCTTTAAGCCCTAAGCTCTAAACCCTTAAAGGTCGCCATGGTAGGGAATAGGCAGCACGATTCTCAGCCCAAAGGGTCTGCTGGGTTTGGCGACGGGCCCGGCAGAGATGTCCTGATGTCAAAGGCGATTCAGTCTGACTGACATGGAGCAAACTGGGCGCGGAAGAACACCACATCTTCAGGAAAGGTGTTGGCATTCTTTTATATTCGGCACGGGAAAGGCCAGATATCATGTATGTGCTGAAGAAACTAAGCACGAAGTTGGCAAGCCCGACAGGGAGTGATATGGAGTTGTTGAGGCGCCGACGTTGTGGCCCCAAACTTCCCAGAGCCATCTACTCTAACCCTTAAGCCCAAACCGCGATTGTTCCTGCAGGACAATCCTGGAGCATATCTGCTGCAGCTGCTGAAGGGGCCACAGTCGGGAAGTACCTCAAAGGAACACCAGACATGGGGTTGATTCACAAGAGAAGTTTGCCAGGAAGAAATTTCTAGAGCAGCTTGTCCTGGGTCTGGGGTTGTCTGGATTGCGGAGGAGACGACAGCCCAGCTTTCTACAGATTTTCCCACATCCCGTTGCCAGCTTTCGCCTGGGATGCTATTCAGCGCAAAAGGGCTTGGGACACGTTCGAGAAGAAGGACTCTCGGGATGCGCGATCGTCGGCGGGAGGTCCGTTTGAAGAGCGGTCGAAACGCTCGGAGCAAGATCTCCCGGACTCGTCTCGGCTTCGAGCTTCAGACTGGCGTCCGGACTGCTCGTTTTTGCACTAACGCTCCCAAGAGGCCGCCGTCAGTGAAAGCTCCCCCTAAACCCTGAGCCCTGAACCCCGCAAAGGCGCGAACTGGGACTCCTCCTCGCCTACAGAGAGCGTAGCGTTTAGTTTTTGCGATTCAGAGTTATACAACACTCCAAGCAGTATTACGGCTTAGGGATTAGGGTTTAGTTTTGGCATATCCAGTCTCCCTTAATGAAGCAATATGCTTAACAACATATTACGGATCCTACTATAACTTAAGATTCTCTTGATGTATTTTTTGTGTCAGAAATGTTGGAAAGTCTGTTCCTGTAGTATTCGACTAGAGGTTAGCCGGAGTTTAGAGGTTAGCCGGAGTTTAGGGTTTAGAGTTCAGGGCCAACAAAACGCCGCTTTCGTCACTAACACACTTCTCCTGTCGTGTGGACTGCTGCCTGGCTTGGAGCTAACACTCGTCCTCAAGTGCATACCTAAACCTTAAGCCCTGTTAACCCCTTCCATCTAAACTATAGCCAAAGTCTCCGACTCCCCAAAGTCCTAAACCCTGAAACCTAAAGGGGCGTCCACAAACACCGAAACCCTAAGCTAAAGATCCTAGCCCCACTCTTTAAATCCTGAGCCCTGGAACCCTAAGCACTAAACCCTAATTAAACCTTAAATCCTCAACCCGAAACCCCGCACCCCAAACCCAAAACCCTACAGGGCTGAAGCCCAAAGGCCTGAACCGTAGGGTTGAGGGCTTACCTGTAGGCTCATACCCTACTTTTTTGAAGGGTTCGGTTTAGGGTTTAGGGTTTAGGGTTTAGGGTTTAGGGTTTAGGGTTTAGGGCTTTGGGGGTTTAGGGGTTTAGGGTTTTGGGTTTTAGGGCTTAGGGCTTTGTGTTTAGGGTTTAGAATTGGTCCATTTTTCTATACAACACATCCAAGCCATAAGACTGGGTAACCTAAACAAGGGATAGGGCATGAGCCTTTAGGTGGGGTTAAACTCTAAACCCTGAAAGCTCTCGACTCTCCTGAAGCTTAGACCCCAGAGACTCCAATGTCCCTTAATTAAGGAAAATGCTTCAAAACACAGCAGGATCCAAAATATTATTTCAGGTATATTCCTTAATTAAAACCGTAAAATAGCAGGATCCCTAATCCAAATTAAGGTATGTTCCTCAGATAAAGGATATTTGGAGTCTTTGGGTAGAGGGCCCGTGTCCCTTCGAGTTCTGGGTTTCTTGGTTCAGGATGAGGCCTAAACCCTAAACCCTAAACCCTAAACCCTATAAGCCATAAACCCTATAAGCCCGAAAGGGTTACAGTTCAGCTTTGAGGTTTTAGGCTTTAGGGGTGTAGGGTGTAGGGTTTATGGCTCAGGGTTAAGGGTCCAGGGCTCATGGTTTAGGGTTTAGGGTTTCGGGCGAAAGATCGACATAGGCCCAGTCCCTACAGTTCTTGCTGAAGGGTCCACGTACCCCACGTAATTACCCAAATCCAGTGTATGCTTGGGCCTGCTTGTAGTCCCTGCTTAGGTGCTTGAGGGCCCAAGTATACTATAGGATTTGCACATGGACCCGTATGGCTTGTCTGTTGCAGGGCCTCTTCCAGCGATCTGCGGGGAATTCCTCCACAGCCACAGGCCACCGAAAGTATAAGCTCGAAAGGCCACGGATCGCTATGAAGGTGACCTCAACAGGGCACGTGTTGACTGATACAGGATCTACCTAGGCCTCCGAGCATTGTGTGTGCGTGTGTGTTGTGACTGCCTCGCTTTCACAGTCTAGCATCTTAAGCATACAGCAAGTACGGTATCCAAAACGAAGGTCATTGCTAGTGGTCGTCAGCATGTAGTTCAGTCATGTCTTTCGGACTATAAGGTAGGGCATCAGAGCCGCACCTTTGCGGACTTACTTTGAAAGGGTCCAGATGGAATCCTTGAGATGAGAGGTACCCGCATGTACAGGTTTCATATTTTTGTCAAGGGTCTTATGAGGGTTCTACAAGAGTTCGACATGGATTGCGCTAGGGTTTTGGGTTTTAGGGTATAGGGTATAGAAATCCTTAAACTGACTGCATCCAGCACTGGTTTTATAAACACAAAAGCAGTGGAACTAGCGCTCATACACAACGCCCCAAATCGTATGCACAGTTTAAGCCTTTATGTTCGCTGAGGTGGCGCCCAACCTAATGATGTATTGGATTCCGCCCACTAGCCGCCCCCAGTGATAAGATTGATTAAGTTCTATGTTTGTATATCTTTTTCGATTTAGGATTGAACTTGGACTCTAACTCTAGATATTCCCGGAACTTGACCCCGACCCCCAATAAGTAAGGGCACTGGAGGTGCTCGCCCGCCCCATGCTGGTTCAGCGTTTGGTGCAGCAGGAGTTGCACAAGCCTGTTCGAGCGTATTGACTACGGCACGGTCGGGCCCAACGCTTGTGTGCAACCGACCTTGTGCGCTGCGATGATTTACACCCGTCGTTGCATACTGAACCCGGAATCTGCTGATGGGTACGTACACTAGCCAGCGCTTGGTACCTAGCATCATGGCGTCTGCCGTGCCTATTGCAAAGAGTCGAGGGTGGCCGGGACTGGTTCCCGGTCGAGCTTACCTAGAGCCACCATCTTGGCTGCAAGAGTGACAGTGGTGGCACTTCTGAAAGGCCCGCGTTGCTGCACAGACTCCTAAACCTGGAGTACCTATTTCATCGGAAGTGTCAAGGCCGAAATACATACACTACTGGTGCATGAACCCTTATACCCTAAACCTGAAACCCTTATTATAGCCGTATAAACCGTAGAATGCCCTTAAAGCCGTCAGAATAAAGCCTGAAGATGCATGAACCACTAGAACTTCAACCCAGAACTTGCAGAACTGTTTCAATCACCTGAATCTTAAGCCTTACACTACTATGGAATTACCTCCTCTGTTGTGGCCTAGTTCCATAATACTAGTTTTTCTGGACCCTCTACACAATATATCTCAAAGCCATTAGCCAAAGCATGCCGGCATTTTTCCCTAAGCCCTACAGCCTCAAACCCCTAACTAAACTAATAACACCTGAGCTCGGAACCTTAAGCCCCTAAAAGGGCTCCTAAATCTTAAATCCTACATCCCAACCCGTAAGCGCCCTCAATCCTAAACCCCCTTAACCCTGAACCCTTAAACTAGGACGTCAAGTCCCCTCTGCCTGTACCTCGAAAGGCAGCCGCGCTCCTGCAGCTGCCGCGGCCTCTGCAGCTACCTAGGGTTTAGGGTTTAGGGCTTAGAGTTGAGGAATCAGGGTTCAAGGGCATTGGCTCAAAGCAATCTGTAATGATATCCCTAACCTGTAATGGCTTCGTCATGAAGGGATGTATATGGGATATGCCGATCCTGATTTCGCTACGACGATCACGACCGAAAAACTGTTCCTGCAACTGCAACGACGACGACAAGAACAAGAGCAACCACCACAACCACCAGCAGCAGTAGCCGCACCAGTAGTAGCAGCAGCAGCAGCAG